GGATAGCTGAGTTGGTCAGAGCGGCAGTATAACAATCGGAGGTCCAAGGGTTCGTCTAGCCTCGCCATCTTTTTACAATCAGAACACTGCTGATGATTACAGTTTGTATTTTGTCTTCATTATGTTTTCATTAAAGTCCTGCAAGACATAGTTTTGAAAAGTCTTGTTTTTTTGGTTTTTTTTTTTTGCAGACTAAAATTAGTTATTCATTAGAAGTTTCCGGAAAGGTCACGGACTGATTGTTTAAGGAAGATTCTGTTAAGGCAATTTCCTGAAAATGTTATGTCCTTATGGTTAAACTTTCGAGTAAGATTGTGCTTTGACTATGACAATTATGTAGTAGCTGAATGTTCATAGAAAACTTCATTCTATAAATAAAACTATTTATGTTTCTGTTCAGGATAAAGGCAATGGAAAACAACTATCAGAAAGAAGCAGTGGTAAACCTTCGACAGATAAAGGAAATGGGCGGAATTACACTGAAAGGTCAAACGGGAAAAACCAGGCAGAGAAAGGAAACGGGAGAAATTCATCCGAAAAAGCAAACGGGAGAAGTGCAATGGATAAACCAAATGGACGAAGTGCACCTGACAGAGGTAGTAAACATTCGCTTGATAGATCTTCTTCAGAAACCGAACAAGTGAGAACAAAACCACCTATACCGAAAAAACCAGCATGTCTGCTACAACACCAAACATCTTTACCCACCACCGTTGTTCCACCAGTACCGGCACCCCGGCCCGGCCTACCTCCCAAAGACACACAGAAAAGCGCAGAAGGCAGCCGGGAATCCCTAATAGATAGCCCAGTGTCGGAAGATGGACCATCTAGTTCCGGTGGTCAATCGAGACTCCGAGGTAAATGTGATGTACCACTGTCCATAATGAAAACTAAATCATGATCATGATTTCAATTTATTACAGCTTTCTTATTATATATTGTATCACGCGGGCGCTATGAACAAACAGCATATAGCATGCATTTTTAATTAATGGTTTACTGATATTTCTCCGAAATGTATCCGATGCTTCTTCTCCAGGTTTTCTTTATTGTGCTATTTGTTGATCTAGGGCTCCCCCTGATTACAAAGATTAAAGTGGTGATGAAAATGTACTAGTCGCTTCCACTTTCCGTATCACGTAAAGCTAGCTTGTATTGAAAAATACATAGAATGCAAAAAAATCGAAGATTTGTCCCTGTAGACCCAATTTGAAATTGATGAGACTGGTATACGGTGAGTTACGAGTGTCAATCTGTGCCGAACTATGGTAAAATCAATCGTCCATGTTTGGCCGTGCTTGTATATCAATGCTGTGAGTGCCAGTTCTAACATTTACTAGCTACCACAGGCCCAATGATACCAAACAAGGTAGATTTTCAGTGTAATTGTGTATATATATGAAAATACAAGGTGTTATAAACATCAAAGGTAAGACGGAGCATTGGGCTAATTGAAGCTCACAAAGTTTCGATGCAAGACATTGATTACCACGGCGGAAAATCGAAAAGAGAACTCAATAAAAACAAGAAAAGAGCAAATTCAGATAGGATATTAGGGCTTGTACACGGACGGTATTGCGTCTTTTGATTTATTTGTTACACATTTCCCATGCGATGGAACCCACTGAGGCCAAAAAGTATTGCATGATTTTGAAAGCTGGGATTTCAAAGTTGTCTAAAGAGATTCTATAAGGTTAGGAGAACAACACAGACTGCGAAATTTCCTGAAACTAGGCGATTGAGATTTCGTAATTGCTATTGTTAACATTGACTTTGAATAAGCGTTGATTCATAGAAGGAAATATGACTTAACAGAATACAAATACAGATCGCATGAGAAAGTCAGTGCGTTGTTTTTATATCAGGGGATAGCGTTTCTTCTCTAGCTGTTAACGAAAGAAAGAAAGGAAAGAAACGTGTTTCATTTCTTGATTTGTCGATGAGCGCGATTCGTCAGCTTGAAAACTGTTATATAATGATTATGGGGAGTGATAATTTGTGTGTTGAATCATGTGTTCGTAATAAAACTCCTAACTTTTAATTGGAGCGTGCTGTTTGAAATGCCATCAATGGTTGTCGTGGTTCTTTTGTGCGGTTGCGTACCACACAATAATCGTCCATTGCAATGACACAGCGTAGCGGTAAGGGGTAGATCATTACAAGCACGACTTCGAGTTAATTAAGAACTATGAATCCTTTAATCACAATAAAAAGGACGGTTCTAATCAAGACAAAGTTTTATAGCACAACCAATATCGTAGAGAGGAACAGGAAATATAGTTCAAATTTAAATTTCAGAAATAAACCTTTCCTGACGCGTTTGGAAATAAGAAAAAAAATCCTCTATTAAACCACGAATGTTTATTGATAAATCAGGATTCGAAATTGTATTTTTAAGGACTACTTATTAATGTTGTAAAGCAAACTAGAGTGAGTAAATCTGAACATCCTTCCAACAGACTGGCACATCAGTTTCACCCCCACCCCACCCCCACCCCACCCCCTCATCCTGAAGTTAATATCACACTTAAAGGGCAAGAACCAATGTCCCATTTGTGTCAGGACATAAGCTCATAAAACCTCTAGAGGATATGTCACGTGTCGTTTTGATGAATCAAATGTCAATGAATGTGATCATATCTAAAGGATCGATTTGTTTTTTTATCGTTAGTTATTTGTTACACAATCTATTTTTATCGTCAAAAAAATAAATTCCCTAGGCGTGACTTGTCACCAAAGAAACAGTAGCTTTCTAGGTCAATGTTGCCTCAACGTTCTTCTCTTTTTTACGTACTTTTAAACAAAGCATTTGGGTGATACACATAGTCTCGGGAAACAATTAGCCTTCTGGTTGGTATGTTTGTAATGTATATTATTCATAATATTATACATTTTCTATTATTCATGTTCTTCTTTATTATCAATATTGTTTTTTAGAAACGAATGAGATGTTGTTTATCACAATGGCCGTATTTATTTTTCGATTTTAATCATTGATACATTTATTAAGTAAGCATGCTGAATTGACGCATACACAACGCTGACTTGCATGATGTCACGAAGGGATAAACTCCGACTGTAGTTATTTCTTAACAAATTATCATTATCTATAAATCAAGAGGTACTCCGCCTGTATTTCTATCTAAATAATTTATTCATAAAATGTAAATTAAGAGGTACCCCGATTGTTTATCTAAATAATGTATACGTGATTCATAAATCAAGAGGTACCCAGAATGTAGATGCAAAATTAAATACTTTTATATAGTTTGTTACTGAATAATCACCTCTTTCCCTGCAAATCAAAAGGCATTTGCAGTAGTTAACAGGTCCTGATCATTTCTAAAACAAAGGACACATCTGGAAAATGTGTCAAAAACTAAATGCCTGTTGCAAATAAAAAGCGCAAAATAGTTAAATAATAATGGGACAAAATAAGAAGCACACTGACTCCACATTTTTTGTGTCTGTTTTTTAATGAGAAACACTTGTTCTTTTGATTAAGTAGATAAACTTTTTATATCAAGCATTAAATCTGCTAAAAATGAGTAAATGGGTAGGGATAACTCAAATCGCATTTCTGAGTTAAAAGATTGAGTTTAAGAAATTTAACGTCCTTTATTTAAAAGAAAATACTAATTTTATCAATTTTGCAAACATATATATTTGATAACAAGCTTGGAAAATATTGTATGAATTGGTTCTGCAAAAAGTTAAAGAGAAAAACTAATTATAATCTTTCCGATTAAAGAACTTTTAATACTGTTGAACAGGGTTTGTATATCAAAGGGTTTCATACCGATTTATAGTGCTACATACTAAGTATACCAAGATGTACCTTGGTTACACGTGATTTGTTATGGGTCATTGTCCAATAGAATTGACACTATACTGCCATTTTGAAGCAACTTATGCCTTTAAACATTTTAATTCATATATATAAAATAGAAATTTATATTTTATATTGTATTCATTTTTTGTTTGAGTTCATGGTTAATATGGGAATGGTAAAGATATTTTAATAGTAAATTTCTGCAACAGTTATTGTTGATGCACTATGCTACTGACTGGAGGCATTTGTTGAAAATACTTCTTTACAGGACAAAAAATGCATGAAATGTTGTTTTTTCCTGTTTGATATCTCTGTTATTAAATGGAATCTGTATTGGTTATTTTCACCATCTGCAAACAGTTAAATACATATTAACACATCGTTAATTTAACCACTAAAATAGTTTTTAAAAACAATACTTAAACAGATAAAAGAGGAAAAAAACGAAATATAAAATATCTTTATCGATTGTTTTTAATAAAAAGCACGTCTGTCTGTAAGTTGTATTAACGTTTTAATGATGACGTTAAAACAATCATTACGCAGCAATTGACATCTAAAGATTTATATCTGGTTGGTTTATATTGTGACGATGAAATGAAAGCGGTATACATTGCATAGTAATTAGTCACTTTCCTATACAAATACTTTCTGTCTCATCCGAAAAGTTAATGTAAGAAATAGTCCTTTTGCAAATGATTTTTCAATCCATACTGGTCTCATCTTGCGTTTCCATCCACTTAAAACAACATCATAGCCCAGACAGATAATCAGATGTCATGGAAATTCATCATCGATAAAAGACAATATCGTGTTTGCAGTATTGCTGACCATATGTCGTTTTGTTACAGGGGTCCTCAGGACTATGGTCGGCAGCTGTGGTGATTACTCTACTTATACTCCGTGCTCCCGCACACTTCCTCCATTTTGTTTTAAACATTTTATTGACTTATTTTTGCATGCAACTTTTTAGTAAATATATTTATAATATGTATATATATATTTCAGGTCCGCAAATACTCCAGGTAGTATTTGGAATTGTACATTTAACTAAAACATTGTAACATGCTACCCCTGCCCTTCCTAGAGATTCTCGTGGAAAAGCTGCTACGCACGCGGAGTAATTACAAAAGGTGTAATGAGGATCGCTTTCATTTGGCCTCATCAAATGACTTCTTCTTTTATCGTCCTTGATTCTTTAATTACCTCCTTGTCCCCTGAGATAATCAACGTCATCAATATTATATATCGCTTGCGCAATCTAATAATGTTTAAACATTTTTCAGCGTGGTTATAATTATATTATTTACCCCTTTATCCAAGAAAAAAATCTAATGAATAAAAACAGTTATGCAACAATGCAACAATTATGGATCAAATCGATTATCATAAAGTGCAAAAATGTCATTTGAAAATCCTTTATGAAATAAGTATCATGTCACATATATATGCAGAAACAGATTTGTCTAATATCAGATTGACATAGGTATAAAAATGTAGCGATATTAATTGATATTGTTTGCCTAAAAACATGATATTTATACAAATACCGATAAGTTACTGAGCTATGATAATACCCTATTGAATGTATACGAACTTTTACGAAAGATAATCAAAATTTATATTTTTTTATGAAAAGAAATAAGCTGTTCATAAACAGTGGCGACTGCCTTTCCCTAAAAAACTATATTTTATGAATCTGAACAGACATTTTTCATTTTAAGGTTTGGAACACTTTCGAATAGACCATTAAGCCAAAGTGTATCAGATTCTCTTATCTCTTGACCATCATTTGATGAGTCTGTGCAGGTTATCTTTTAACTTTCTTTTATCGCTGAGCTTGGCATTATTTGCACGCAAGTTTGAAACCTGCCCTACACGCTTATGTCTGGCTTCAGTCGTATAGTTACCAGTGTCCTCGGCTAACCGAGCGCCACCTACCCAGTCTACATACATGTTGTAACCGGATGAAAGCGATGGCAATCGAACACCTCCGATTTCCTTTGGGATAAAGGAACACACCAATGTACATGGAAATTGTAATGTTTTGAATTGTTTGACATTCACTAGAAGCTCTGATTTGTTCGTTTCATATCCAAGATTTTTTAGATGTCAGCTCACGTGTTAGCGAGGATCCCCGTTTTCATATCAAGAATGAATACTCTTGCTTTTTTCAGAAATTAATTCTTCATAAATCTTGCATATTTTTCATCCATGCAGCTTTCTTTTTAGTATTCAAAAAGCTAGACCCCAAGTAATTAATACTTAATGGAATATGTGTTGGGTTTAGGACATTTTTTTCTAAACTTCAGGTTATTATATTATAGTAAATATTCAAATTTAATGTTTGATGTTTCTTTTTAAAACTTTGGGTCAAATGATGTACTTATGTCTTGTCAGAAACGGGTGAACAGTACAGGTCCTTTGGACCTTGTGTTTAACTCAAAAATGTAAAAGGAAGACCTACCAGATCAAATGTACGTATTTTTAGTAACCACTCTGTTATCTTAATGCGAGCACGATACTTTTAAGCGACAATGTCTGGCTTATTCAATTTGTTTTACTGCCAAGAGCATTAGGAGGCTCCGGGAATATCTAAAATGTTGAACCAGTCTTTGTTTAACGGGAACAATGCATCCTGGTCTTTGCATTAAGAGATATCTTTAATGAGTTTTCTCACTTAAACAGAAGAATAACATACACGTTAAACAGATCAATCCTGTTGATAGCAACCTGTCTGTTTGAAACGACAGAAAACAGATTTGAGGTAACACATGTATTTTTTCTTCTTATTCGAATTTTGTTTTCGTAGATTATCTTTTAAATTTAAACATCAATGAAGTAATTTAATTATATTGTGTCATTTTAACACAAAGTTTTAGAATAATTATAACATTATCAAACAACATTACTGCTTTTCTTATTTATACTTAGATTAATCCTTTTATTTTAATATTAGTAAGAAATAAGAAAATGTCAACAAATTATCCGGGAATGCAATGATTTTTTGTAAAACAATAACATTTTGTTTTATATATCACACAGCAGTAATGAGAATGTAGTTTGTTAGTCAGAACATTTTATTTCGTTTGTATGTTCGTATGTATGTAGGTTTGTAGGTTTTACTATTTAGTTGTACGTTGGAGATAGGGAGATTCTCGAAGGTCTATTGTATTAGAGAATGTCACTTAAGCAATTAGAACACTGTTCCTTGCCCAAAAGAACCAAAACATGGCATAATCTTAAGTTTTTGTTATCCTGTTATGTTTGTAGTTATGTTCTATTTTAATATATTCTTATTATCTAATTCTTATTATTTTTTGATGATAAAAATACATCTATAGTAATATTCTAGTCTAATTATGTTAATTCCACTGGTATTCGAACTGCATATAGACTAGTCATATTCCGGTGGTATTTTAATTACAAGTATTCTAGTTATATTCTGGATATATCAATTCTAGTTATATCATTGTTAGAACAATCTGTGTTGATACATAGTAATAGCAGTAATTTAAGATATATAATAACCAAATTAACTCTAGTATATGATTTAGTTTAACATATTAGGATAACATTCTGTTATATCTGTACTTGTTGTATTCTTGCCGGTGAAATTATGTTGCTATGCTATGAAGATACATTCATGTTGCTATATACTAACATTCTTCTAGGCAGATAAATTGTACTAACAACGCAAACTCTACTTATATCCAAGGAATAACGATTTGAGTGATATTCTTGGTCTACCAAGTATTGTTATATAATCGCATTTCTTGTAATGTTTTTTGTAAGAACCAGTCTACGTTGTCATTTCCCAGGATTGATTTCCTATCCATAATTTTAACAGTTTTGTATTCAACAGATTTCTTACTAGCGTTTTTTTGTAATATAGTGAAAAGGAGAACTCAGTTAATTGAAATGAGTGTACGTCGGATTCGTTACAATCGGTTTGTGTATTATTCTGGAAATAAAATCGACATCCAGATACTTTACGTTACTTAGATATGGTGAGGTGGTTAATCTTGCGTTGATTCAAGAGGACCACCAACCGCGAATTCAAACATCTCGCGGACATTTAATCAGATTTTCAAACAAGGAATATTTATCTGTTGCTGTTAATGTCGCGAATTCAAATAATGTCGTATAAACTGTTGAAAGAATAAAACAAGTGTTTTACAGTAAATACTCAAATAGTTTCAATTATGGTTTCCAAATTTTGCATTTAATAGTTAGAAACAATCACCAACCATTTTATTGAAATTTGTAATAAATCAATCTTAATTCCGTAAATAACTTGCATAGAAATGTTAAATACATTAATTTATAGGATATTATTCATTTACCAAATAAAACTTAACATGACATTTTGTCGCTTTTATGATGACAACATTTTTGTGTCGTTTCAGCGATGGGCCAAGGTGCCAGGAGTGATTCGGAAACCTCTGCGTCTGATGTGGATATGGAAGATGTCTCTATGCACTATTACCAAGGCGATGGGATGAGTACGGACGATGTAAGTGATGATTATTCGATGATGAGCATCGGAAGTAGTGATGACAGTGGTAGACTTCGCAGGAAACATCGCCCGCGGTCTCTCAACATCCCGCGTTCTCACAGCGCCACGTCATCGGATGACGAGACCACGGATAGCACCATAAGTACAGACACTGAAAACCGATTAGCTCCTCTGGCCGTCATGAACGAGGCAAGAGTCGCATTAGCTGCTAGTGCATTCGCAGAGGAAATGGAAGACTTCAAAGGAGAGTCTTCTATGGATGAAGTTATGGACAAATATGATTCCGATGTGCAAGACGATTTAAAGTCGCATATGAGTCCATCGCCCCCGAGAAGTCCGAGTTGGAGGGCAGGTTTAGAGAGTCCACCATTTTCGCCAAAACGTAAGGATTTGTATCCTGGTAAAAAGCGCCCCTCGTCTCCGGTGTCTCCGAAAGACAGTCGCTTGCAATTTACGTACGACGTGTCACCCCCAGTCCGCCAGCTATCGGTTGAAGAGTTGTACGCTGAGGCACATGCACTCGGCGAAGCAGGCTACGCTGTCATGCCATTAGTTCAAAAACCTTCTCCGATATCGCCAGAGGAACTTGTTGATGATATGATAACAACAATGGGTGAACCTTTCCTTCTTAAAATGCCCGAAAGTAAACCGTGTCATAATCTTCATGAACTCGACACTAGTCATATAGATCTCCCCGATACTGCTGTAGCTATTGACCTCGCTACATACGCTGCTACAATTGCGAGTAACACTGCTAATCTCACACAAATGACCGTGTCACCCACTAACCTACAAGTTTTACCCGTGCATGAACATGACCAGATTTCACCAGATTCGCAGGATACTGAAAGCACTGAAAGCGCGTCGCCGATTTCACCAAGTTATTATGAAAATGGATCCGATGATATGGACGAGGTTGAACTAGCAGATCCATCTTCAAAAGCAATAGATTATCAGGGTTCAAAGCGCCAAAAGGTGCGGCCTCCCTCAACCGACTGGTCTCCAGTGATTGACTTGTCTCCTATTTTAGACGTATCGCCGTCAATCGAAGAAGCAGAACGTGTCGACATGTTCGAAAAGCAGGAGGAAGAACGACGGAGGAGAGAGTCACAGGAGGAAGATGAGGACGATGACGAAGATTATGATAGTTATTTTCAGCCTCTCGAAGAAGATGACGAACAAAATTCTTATTATGGTCTTAAGAGGTATGATAGGGTAGAAAATATATGTCAACTTTTACAAAGCAATGGCCCGAACGTTAGTGATGGTCTTGCGAGTTCTTCGGAGGCAGCTTGCATGGCGTTGGATGATAGTGGTTTGGTTAATGACATGGCAGGTCATCCTTTTACATGTACAACGCTAGCCTCAAAGTCGGTGACTAAGGACGTAATATTGAAAAGTCAACCATGTAGTTCAGAAGTGCAAACAATTACATCTAATAATCAACCAAAAGTAAGTTTAATTCAGAGTAGGGTTAATTCGTTAGAACAACCCGAAAAGGGTGCTTCCTGTTCTGCTTCCTCTTTGTCAACTACAAAACAAAGTGAACCCAAAGAAAAACCTCCTAAGCCTGCTATACGACCGCGGAGAAAGTTACCAGAACCTACCGCAGAAATGATAGCTGCACATACGAAAAAGCACTCGAAATCATCAGGCAAATACCACCAAAGTGCACAATCGTCGGTTGGTGCTTCTTGCTCTTCTGGATCATTTGTGAAAATGGTACCCCATTCGGGTGATGTTCCTCAACGACCGGATGGTAGAAATAGCGACACGAATAATAACAACAACAATAATAATAATAACAGCAATATGAATATGGTGCAAGATTTGGCAAAGGGTGTGGAATCGGATGATAAGAGGAAAAAGGCCAAAGACATGAAAGCGAAACCAAATCCACTAGTCATACGACACATCGAGTCGGAGGACCAGAGTATGTCTCCCCAGTATAAGGTCCTGGACTCACCTCCGAGTCCGGAGTCCCGCTCCTCACTGAAGAGGGACTATTCTGACAGTACATCTGTGTCTCCCTCCTCCTCCCCTGATCGGGAGGTGTATCCCTTCCCGTCACCTGTCACCCCTCCCGACTCTGACTCCTCCCCACCCAAGCCTCATTCTCCCTCCTCACCGGGTACAGACTTTGATGAGGATAGCACTTACGAAAAACCCACTCCATCTAAACGCTTGCCACACCTCAATAAGACCTTTGAGGAGAAATCTTTGGCCGAGACCAAGGTCAAGGACAAAATCAAGAAATTCGAGCAGGTAAAATGGTTCCCTCTTACAAACATTTACTGCTGAATTTACATCATGTTTGTATCGTCTCTTTTATATGTTGAGTTTATTTGGTAATATGAATTGTTTATTCTATAATGGCTTGATTCAACTGGGAAGTTAAAACTAAATTATAGCCCTATAAATTATACCTGCAATAGGGTTCAGTCGTCTTGGTGTCTCAAGCTTTGGCAGAGCTTTACCTCGGGTGTAGGAACGGGGTGTACCCCAGGATCAAATGTAGATCAGAATAAATTAAGATACTATAGTGTTTGCCTGAAACTGACATTCGTATTAATCAACTGTTCGAATGTCTATAGTTTGTTTTACGTTTATTAAAAATGAATTAAACCATTCTGTCGATGCAAACCATTTAACAAAAATTCAAGTAATTATTTTTTAAATAATTACTAACATATATTTGTCATTTGATAGCTGCTCAATCCATAGACATTGACGTCTGTTCGTACATCTATGTCAATACTATTGTAAGTATTCATGCACTTTAATGCATTGAGTTTGGATACTTTGCAATTTTATGGTTATTAACAGTCTTGCAACACATTATAGACATAGGATTTTTTTGTCTTCAAAAATAAACGTACGATTTTTGGTGTAATTTCTTACTCAAAATGTTTTGCCTCTAGAATGATATGTATTTGTGTATCTTATCACAAAGGTGATAAAGACAAATATATTTTCTAAAAGAGTTCTGTAATTATTCAATCAAGTATAAAAAAATAATTATTTATATTATTTGAAAAAGGATAATTAAGAATAAACTGTTTGCTTTATCATATTTATTGAAATTATCAGACGAAAAGGATGTATTGAGCCTGCCTGTACACATGTTTCACCGCATCACCACTCCGTATATGTGTTTTACAACCATAAAATCTATATACAGCATTTATCTCTCAATTTTCATATTAACACCTTTAACCGAACACGCAGATAGACAGGGTTTCTGACATGTGAGTTTATATAATTGCAACCAACGTCATTCGATACATCTTCAAATAGCAATGCCCAACGTTTACGTATAATGATCAACCTCGAGCAATAGAGACATATGATCATATACTCAGACAAGCCATTGCCTAGTTACGGATCATATATTGTATATGGTGTAACGTGTTGTATGTACATCAGGCAGCTATTCCCAATAGGCGGCGTGGAGTAGAATTTGTATGTATTGTTGTCTTTATAACACATTCTTATTGTTTATAGGTGTCTCAAGAATCAAAGAAGACGAGAAGAAAATTACCTCCGATTCCTACTGGTGACGAATCTTCAAGCAGTTCTAAACAAAAGAGTCAAACTTCATCTTCCCGAAAACATCACACTCACGTTAGATCTGAAAACCGCCGGAAGCGTACCGGGTATGGTACACCTTCCTCTACAAGCGACGAATCTATGAATGAGGATGATTTTGAGGTTGCGATGTGGACAAATCATCACCATAAAAGCCATACGAGGATGAATGATCTGGATAAGCCAGCATCAATGGATAAGCGAAATGGAAACTACAT